TGCTGGTCACCATCACATTCACTCAGAGGTCAGCTGCTGGAATCTTGGATGCGCAGTTTGCATGGTGATTTGCTGAAACGATCTGTATAATCATACATCATTTTGGTAGATTTCTGGACGTCCAGTTCTTCATCTTGTCTATCCGGCCATATGGATAAGTTTGTCAACTGAGGTAACGTGTTTTAAATAAAATCGGTGAATACTATTAGACAGGGCTGATACCAGAAATATTCTGCCTCAAATGTAATCACACAAAAGTTCAATGAGACTTTAACATAATCTTGTGTGCGCATAATGTGCCAGATTTGTAAACATTTATTTTCAGCACTTGAAAAAAATAATACTGTAGATACCAAAACTAACCAGCCCTAATGAGTTTTGAATGCAACAACGTCGAGTCCAACAACTGTCAGTTACGCTGGTTGGTTGGATATTTTGTTTGTTTTGGATTGATGACGGTGAATTACTTCAACAGTTACCGTCTCCGATCATCTAGATTAGAAGACGGTTACCGAGTTACCAAGTTTGGATTTGTTGACGGCTGCAGATTGAAGAAAACTAATGACAAGACTGTTTCATAAACGCAACAGCGACATCAAAAATCGACAGATTGCGGTCTACTAAAATTATGATTGCTATCGTATTGAATTGTGCTCTTTCTTGTGATAAAAAATACTGGAGAACTGTCTCAGGGTCAGGTGAATTTCTAATCAAGATTAGACGTCGCTATGGATAACAAACTGTCTTTCCCTGTCAATACAGTGAGTGAGGTGATACTAATCACTCATTCAGCTGTAGGCATATACATGGAACACAGAATAAACCTTACTCATTGCATTGCCGTCAATGGTGTAGAATAAACAAGACAATCTGTGTACGTGTTCAACAGATAGAACACGGTTCAAAAGAGAAATCGCATAGAAACCACACGTTATTGGAAAGTATAGCTGTCCAAAATTCATGTTTATAAAATATATCTAGTGTAATTTCATTTTTATCTTCACCAATGGTACAGGGAAGTTATGCAGTAGGGTAGCATACGTACAACCAATAAAAGCTTTTTCACTACGATTATGTTAAACGAAAAGTGGTGACTATTCTCTACGAAATCGGGAATGATCGGTGGATATGGATAGCTAGTGATGATTGGTTTTGCACATGTTGTACAATTGTAAGCAACATAATCCAATGCTTTGTTTTAAAAGGGGATAATCAAATATCGTAAGTCATTTCGTAAATCTCAATGGCTGCAATTTTATTACCTATCGCATTTATGTGTAAAACCAGACATAACGTCATTCAAGAAATACGGAAAGTTCCTCGTCCTGCACTCAATGTATTCATTTAAACAAATGTTGCTGACGAAGACAGTGCAAAAATTATCGAGATTCAAGAGCAAGCATTCATTTCTAGGTATCATTATCAACTGCATAAAAAGTGCTGATACCTTGTGGATTCGCCATGAGCTGTTTGGAGAATGTTACACTACACGTATTCTTGGCCTGGCAGAAGGAAGATATAACAGTTTTTGTTGGAGACTACATGATCATCCAGACTGAGCAAAAGCAACTGCTTACGTGTGGTGGAATTATCCTGAACCCGTTGTGCATACACCTTATTTAACTTCTTCGTTCAAATTTCTCGGAGAACTCTGTTGGGCGTTTTAATTGTTACGGGCAAAGATTTGTTCATTTTCTGTTGTCGGCGGGCTTTATTGAATTAGATTTAGGGAAGGATGATACAGTTCACTTGGTTTGGTTGAAAGCTCAGTGAAAACGACCACATTCGTACTTGTATGACGCTCATTTGTGCTACAATTATTGACAGTCAACACTCGTTTTCACAAACGATAGTTTGACATGCATATATTCACCAAAAAGTAACGACATTTTGTTGCATCAAGCTTCTATGTTTGAACTGACCTATCTTTTAGCAGTGCAGAAAACAGTCTATTCAATGGTATAGCCGCCAAACCAGTTTTAGACAACCCTGCGTAGCGGTCCAACACAAGGAAGCAACGCATACTGCAAGCGTGATAAGCCCTGCACCTGAACAACGTCTAACTGAATGTTGAAAAACAAACACCAAAGGATGGTGATCAACACACAAACGCTGAAAAATGTGGATTCGCATGGATTAACTCCTGGGCCTGCCAAAAGTAATTCACGTGAATCTGTGCACAAGATTATAGTCGAAAATCTTGAAGCTTAAAGATAAGAGTTTCTATTAACAGCATGAAAAAGGCGCATCGCCAACAAGTCCACCTAAAAAAATGAAATAGCTATCCAATGCTGTTTATCAATCGTTGCATACAACTTTACAATCAGTTTTAAGCTCTGATCAAACACACGAAGACTAATTTTGGGTACCTAGATAGTAGGTATGAAAGTGCTTTATTCATTCAATTAGGCTTTTTAATAAGATCTAATCAGCACAGAATTGTCTGAATAGTTGCTCTATCATAATCACCTTATTGATTCACTGAATCACCAATCGCTCGACCTGAGATAAATTTAATGAAGATTCAAATAGATGGAGGAAAACATTAGATCACCGATGTGTGATGTATTTCCGAGAAGAGATCAACTTGTTATGCAGTCCAATTGTTGCAAATTTCGATGGCAACGTTATCCTAATTTGATTGATTTTTATCTTTTCTTCAGTAGTACCTATTGCACATTTCATATTTGTTGACTGAGTGTTCGCGAAGTGGTCAGAATATTTGCTATCTTTCAGCAGCATACTGGGTCACTTTCTTCATTGTTTAATGTGCCCAGAGACGTTGATTCGTATTTTCCTTGGCATAAGCGAAGCTAACTTAGTCCTTTGTTGCAGAACAATAAATCTACTGAACTAGATTCTTGTATTTTCGCTGGTTTAAACTGTCAGTTGTATCAAGGTGCTTTTTCCAGGTTTTGATTGATTGCTGAGGTGCGTCAAACCATTTGATATTGTGCAGACATGTAATTTCTCTTGTGGCTGGGATATGTAAACTAACCATTGAATTGTGATGAATAACATCGAGCATTTGATTAGATAGGCACAAGATGAAACACGCATGCAAATATGCATACATTTTCTAATCATGATGACCTGTGAAGAGTTCAGCCACCTCAGCCGTACTTGACCATACATACGAACTGCGCCTATGCTTTTGTATAGCGCAAGCTCTGTCAGCTGAACTACAGTAGGGCTGTTTTTACATTTGAAGTATCCACGCATAGTATAGAGGAACGCGGAATCCACCACGTGGCAGCTAAGCTAGCTGAAACAGCTGATTTTTCTTCGAATTTAACGGGAATCCATTTATTGCATTTTTAAGGTAGGTTTACTTGTTCCAATCATGTTGTTTTGCAGAATTTGGTCTCTATGTGGGAATTTTTAAAAATCAGAGACTTGGGAGAATGTCATACTTGTTTTTACACATCGATCACGATACCAGAACTCAAGGATATCAATCAACTGCTTCTACTTTCTCCTTTGTGATAAACCATCAAACTGTTTGATTTGAAATAATTAAGCCAGGACACACTTGTAAAACACATTTCAAGTGATAATGGGAGCGAATCCGATGTATTATGCCAATTTTCAATCGTTTTAATGCTTGTGGATCAATCAGAGACACTGCCGCGCAATGAAATGTCTAACAAGTAAAATCGGCCTGTTATCTATTCAGGAAACTGTGCTGAAAACGATGTTTTGCTCAGAACGTTGTTCCTTGTTATCCGATATATTTTAATTAGGGTAAAACACTCGTTATTGACGCGTTGCAGCTGAAATAATTTATTGTATAGTCATTAAAATGAAGCCTAATATTTTTGACTGATTATAGTCTGTGTTCGCAAGTGCAATTAGCTCAAATGTCCCCTGCATTTAAAATTAACGTAAACCATCTGTCTGTGACTTGTTTTTCATTAGGTCTCTTCAAGCATCCCATTCAAACGTGAAATAGTTCCAAGAATCTACCTTTCATTTTGTTCACATTGCTTATTGATCTCTGAGATGAACTTTGTAATTTACTTCTGTTTAGTGACTGTCATCAGGTTTGGATTACCTTGTGCTGCTAATCACGTCTCATCCCCACAGTGACCGTTATGTATTCGCTTCACGGATTGTCTAAGTTCGTCCTAATGACCGGAATGGAACAGTCAACGGTGAGAATAAGACAGGAAGACAGATCGCGTGATAAAATCCACGAAACATTATTGGTTTGTCACTCCGGGATATCTATCTGGCCATCGGGATAAGCTTGTGAATCAAGGTTATGTGACCTAATTCCATCTCGGCACCTAGTTCCGGTCTTAATCAGAAGATGCTCGTGGGAACCTCCCACCCGATACGACCAACTTAAGTAGGTCAGTCATTGCACGCGAATGTTTTAATTTCGAATTTGTGTGAACTGGTCTTTTTTGATCATATGCTGTTCCCGGATATTGTTTTTTGTGGATATCATTCACCAGAAAAATGTTGATTTTTACAAATTTGGTAGAAGCTATCCTAGTAGTAATGTGAAATTAAAATTGGATGTCTTGATAAGGATAGTTGTTTTGCAATTGCTGTCTCTTTCATTCGCCCGTTTCTTTAGATGGAATTGTTGCATTCATCTCGGCGATTATTTTAAACGACAGCCATTTATGGATCCGGTTGTATGCGAGGAGTCTAAGATAAAAGTTAAGATTAAAATAAATGAGACTTTGGTTGGGTTATAGGCACCAGCGATCTAAGCTCTGGTAGTTGGAGTAGTAGGCTGGCAAGAATATGACAGACTGAACCTCGTATGTGGTCCGATGAAATGGAGGCTTTTTTCTATTTACATTTAGTTACGGTAGTAGGATTAGAACCGCGAACCTTAAGGTATTGAATAAACCATAATAACAACCCCCGTTTTAACCATTATCATCCAAATAAAATTTGTCACTTGGGCAAGGTGACTTTCTCTCTGGCTTGGTAAGGTTAGAACAAAACCAAATAGTACAGGAAACAACAAATAGTGTTGAAAATTAGCTGAACTTTACCTCCAGTTTGAGCTTCCTAACTTCGGCAGCCAAATCCTCCGTTTGTTTGACGTATTGCCATTTTGCTCGACGTTCGGAATCCAGAATTTGAAGAAGATGCAACTGCTTCTGCTCGGCCTCCTGTTTTTGTTCGATTAGCTTGCCAAAACTGGAACCGTCGTCATGTCCATCCGGTTTTGTAGAGAATGAGGTCGTAGGTTGCATACGTATGTACGTAGCA